ATACATTAAAAAAAATTATAATATACGTTAATTTAAATAAGCAAACAATTATATAGTTTTAAAACATTATATATATATATATATTAAAATTTTAAAATTATTAAATTTTTAATGAGAAAGACTAAAATTGCACAATTATGATATTTGAGAGATTAAAATTGTTCAATTAAAAATTGTGAGACTAAAATTACACAACTGTAATCTTTTAAGGACTGAAATTATTCAATTAAAACCTTAGGAATCAAAATTGCATAATTATAATACTTGAGAGGTCAAAAACACAATTAAGTCAAGAGTATTCTATTCTCAGTTTTGGAACGGGCCGTTCTGGATTCAGAACGGCCCGTTCTGCTGCACTGATGGTGTGTTAATTTTTTGCATCTGGAACGGCCCGTTTCAATTGCAAGATTAACACACCAAAAGTGCAACCAGAACGGCCCGTTCTGGTTTCAGAACGGGCCGTTCCAGGTCCAGGTGTTTTCAAAAAAATTGTCATCCACGTGGCATCCACGTATGCATCCACGTGGCTAAAAGTTAACTCCGTTTAAATAATTTGGACGGAAGTCCCACATTGAAACCAATTAATTAATTTGGGACTAAATTGAAACCAATTAATTAGTTTAGGACCAAATTAAAACGAAAAATAAAAGTGAAACTAAATTGAAACAAACAATTAATATAAGGACCAAAATAGGATTTTAGCCACATTTTTTTTAGTCTCTTTACAGTTTTTTTTTATGAAAAATTCTGGATCTTTCCGAATTGTATTCCGAAAATTCTTCCGAAACCTTAAAAAATTATTTTAAATTATAAAATATTAAATGAAATAATTATTTTATAATAAATTTATTAAACAATATAAATATTTTAAACATTTGGAACATGTTTCGATTTTTTCGGTGGGAGGCTGTAGTAATGCTCTTTTTTAATTGATTTAGTTTCTGTTATTTATTTTAACGTTGTTCGTTTTGATATAAGAATTTTTTGGAAGGATAAAACGAATTAATAACTCTAACAAAATAAATTTAATCTTAGATAAAAGGTTAAAAAAATTATAAATACATGTCACGTTAACACAAAATAAAAAAAAAATAGATAATGACTGAAAAATTTTAAAAATTATAAATACAGGACTAAAAAGATTTGAGTATTTTACACACACAAAAAATTATAGAGAATTTTTCATTTTTTTATTTAACACCAGACAAAAGTATAAAAGTCGTAAAAAAAACTTAGTATTATTAATAAAATAGAAAAATAATGTGTTAATGATTTTATCATCCTCATAAATTGTCAAAAAAAAAAATTATTCTTGACTTTTTAAAACCTTCACTTTTCCTGCATTTTGTAAATATATCCACTCATAAACTCTTTTGAGATGAAAGTTAGCCATTTTAAGGATGCAAGTTTAAGTGTTTATAAAATACAAGAACAAGGTGAGAGTTTTGAATGCAAGGACAAAACCAAAAACTCCAATTTTATGATATGAAAAATACCATTAACTTAAAATAAAAATATAGCAAGGTAAAACATACAAAATACAAGGCCTTGAAAATGTTTAATATTTTAAAAGATAATTATTTAAAAAATAATAATTAATATTTAAATATCATTATTAAATATTTAAAATTACCTAAAAATATTACTTTTAAACTATATATATTATAATTTTTATTATTTTTAAAGCTCCAACACTGGTGCTGGGGAAGATTGATCTGATATATACTAATAAAATATTTATAGTAATTAAATACGTGAAGCATTTCTTTTTTCCTAATACATTATTATTGAAGGGAGAAAGAAACAACAAAAACTTAGGTTTAGCACAGTAACGGGAAAGAAATCATGGAGTAAGGAGTCACAGTGGGTTCCACTGGTTTCTCGTCTCTTCTCCACCTGCAAGTAGTGTGCCACCACGGGAGGTCAAAAACTAAAGGTCCAAATTACCCTTTACATACTCAGCTTCACCTTTTGTCGTTCAGCAAAGAATCCTGAAATCATCCTTTAATCATTTTAATTTTTTCTTTGCACCCTTCTATTGAACTAAATAAGGGGAATTTATTAAATAAAATATTTTTTTATTTCCATTTATTCAAATATTCCGAGACTGACTGGCTCTGACAATAGAATGCCCTTGGGATTCCCAATCAAGCAAAGAACACTGAAACACTCAATTGCAAATTGCAACAAAAATAATAGTCAGCCTTCAAGATTATCGTCTTGTAATACTATCATTCGCGCTCCATTCAACTAACACAAGAAATTAGCTGAAGACAACTAATGGTTTAAACTATTCTCAAACAAAAACTTGTCCTTGTGAATAGTAGACGCAAAAAATATCGTAGGTTGTACAAAAGGTCCATGCCAAGTAAAATGGGCATATTAATCAGAGTGCAGAAAGTTGATCTCCAAATTTAAGGATTTAATTCAAAGCAATTGAAATCCTTCCACAAAAGGCCAACACAGCATAGTAGAATGCACTCACTCTTGCTGCTACTTTCAATAACGGTGTCTACTTCGGTCCCGGTCTCGCCCATAATCTCTGTCACGATCAACATAATCCCAGTCTCGATCTCTTCCCCTCTCCCTCTCTCTATTCCAACTGCTTTGCCTATCTTTTTCGCCTCGCTCTCTGTTCCTGCTATCCCCATCATTACGATCCCTCCCTCTGTCTCTACTTTCTCTAGCATCCCTGTCTATCCCTGCCATAGATAGGTATTATTACAGAATAGCTTGGTTACTGCAGGTCCAACCAATTCATAATTTCATACAAACACGTCAAATGATGATGTCAATAAATATATCCTCAGTAGTGTGCATATCTACAATTCCTCATTAACCAAAAGAGCTAAACAAACAAGGCAATACCATATTAACCTTCATAAATGTACTCCAACAACAATAGCCAGTTCAATATAATTTAACCTTGAAACTTGAGTAGGACAATCGACCACTAAATAAATAAATACACCAAGACAACCAATAACCAGTTTGATAGCATGCAGGGTTAGAAAGTAAAAAGTAAGACAATCAACAAGCTGAATTAAGGCTATAGATCATGAATGCTGAAAAGAACTAGTGAAAAAGAACAAAAGGGAAATAAGTTATGATATGCAATCATGATTCTAGTTCCAAGAGAAAATGTAACTATTTGAAAATGATCATCCCACCGACTAAATAATGGATCGGTGCGGAGCTAGGGGGCTTGACTAGCTCAAGAAGCACTTCTAAGGTTTCAGCTTCCTCTGTAATAAATACTTAGATGATATCATTCTAGATATGCAACAATACCTAGTTCTTCAACCTCCCAACCAGCACGCCCTGCACCAGGAATTCCACGTGCAGCTTCAGCTTGCTGTGTTTTGGCACGGAATTTTTTCTTTAAATTTCCAAATTCATCATACAACTCTCCATCATCCTGACAATGAAAAACAGATTATGAGACAAAGGTAGTATATATAACGTGTGATCTGATTTTTAATCAAACTTACTTCAGCTTCCCTCCTACGACGCCTAGTTTCTTCTATTTCCTCTTCATCAAGCTCTTTGTAACCTCCACCTCGTCCTCCTCTGTTTAATTACAGAAAGATCAAGCAACCTCAGTAACATTTTCATTGAAAAAGAAAAGAAATTGTGAATGGTAAAAACAGAAACTAAATTAAGCTTTAACTTTAACATATGAAAAATGAAGGGGGCAATTATGAGTTTATGATCAAGGAAATCCAACATTTTCAAAATTGAAACCAAAATGAAAAGTGATAGTTAATCCATGATTAATTAAACCAAATACTAACTCGATTAACAATGTATGTAGACTTAAGTAAATTTTATAACTGAAAGTTTGATTGCCAAGACTTCATGAGTGGAATTGAAATTCTCCCGGCCTCCCAAAATGAAATACTTTATGGTATTTCCCATAAAACAAAATGCAATACATTTTACAAAAAAAGACTTGAGGAAACAGACCACAAACACACCCACACATTTCCTAGCATGCAAAGAGAAAGGGAATAATCATCATTAAAAGGCTTTGCTGACATTTGATTGCAACAAGGTGCTTTATGCTGTGAAATAATAGTGAAAAACATGGTAGTTGAATCGAGATACACATAATGTATCGGAAAGCTTATTTTTTGAATCGTGAATCGAATCGTATCGTGAATCGTAAGATTCGTGATCAATAAAAACATAGTGTATATATATGCATACAAGACATATAAAAGCACTCTAAGCACATTTTAATATAAAGAAACAGACAAAATGAAGTCATACATAAATATATAGTAATATATAAGCTTCAAAATACAAACAAAGATAGAATTATACAAATAATAACAGTCTCAAAGCCAAAAGAAATGACTGTACAGTTCAACAACAAAGCCTCCAAAAAAATCATTGTTGTTGCTAAATATATACATATACAAGGGACTGTTTGCTACTCTAATCAGCAATATAGCCACCCAAAAAAAATATTAGTGTTGTTGCTGCATAAACTCAGCAACAAGTGGACCACTAACACGAAGAACAGCAACCCAAACAGCCATCCAAACGAAGCTGCGAACCTGGACGAGACAAAGGGACCACTAAAAGTGAAACCCACTAAGTGGGTCATGTACAGGAATGGGTATCGGCATTTTCTGTCTCAGTTTCGTCTTTTTTTATTTAAAAAAAATCATTTTTTTTAGGGTTTTCAGAACCGGGTCGCGCATGACCCGACCCGGTTTTGGACGCGACCCGTTTCTTCCCAGAATCGTGCGAGACCTTCCAGAATCGCGATTTTCCGATTCTAAACCCGATACAAACGATTCGAAAACGATTCAGGATCAAAAACGATACACCATGCGATTCGAATCGCTGAAGCACGGAATCGTATCGTATCGTACGATACGAATCGCGATTCCTACGATACTTACTACCATGGTGAAAAACATCTTTGTTAATATTTTCATGAATGACGTTCAAGCTAGATTTCTATTTGGAAAAAAAAATGGTGATTTGGTGCTTATTAATGAAGACAAAAACATGATGCCAAAATTCATTCCTTGCCCCATGGGTACTGATATACAAACTAAGCTACAAGACAACCATAGATGTCTAATCATGCAAGGTAGCATCTAATGATTATTCAATTTGTCAAACACGTCACACACACAAATTGTTAGGTGAGGTTTTGAATTGATTAGAAATATATAACAAATATACAGCATTTGAAATCAACATTTTATATAGATATACTAGCCCTCTAAAAATCAATTTCTTAATTCTGACTGGATTAAAAAGTGCAAAATCACATGGGCAATGTTGGAATGACATATTAAGAGACAGATCAATTACATTTGGTACATGCTGCATGATATTTTTTATGTATAATAATATATTGCATACAAGTATAATTAGCGCAATATGACATGCATGTCTGATTTAGTTTTTTTACATATTAAAAATTGCTTATTTTTCCGAAGCTCTTTTAGAAAGCTGGCAAAAACAAACAATTTGAATCAAATATGAAAGCAAGTATCTCTACCATGATGGACAGTGGGCTTCCCACATGACATTTGATTTTTCTTTTCTTATAATAAGCCCGTGTTTCATTTTTGTTATAATTGAACCAACAAGAAAAAAATATCAGTTCAAGAGTCAAACAGTCCCTATATTTTCCTTTTCCAAATAGGCAGTTTACAGCTTTTAAGTTGGTTTGCATTCATTTTTTACAAATGCAATATACAGAGCAAGTGTTTAAATGATTTATTCGTTTACTCGAACAAAAATGAATTTTCTCAGTATACCTGCATCAGGAATGGCTGGGCACCACTATGTACTTAACTAGCAATAGAATGTAGAAAAAGAATCAAATATGATACCTTACACCACCTTCATTATGCCCAGGCTTATTTGTATTGCAAATATTGCATTTAGTCCGCTTTGCCCAATTGATATTGCCACACCTAAGCAAAAAAAGAATATGAGAAAGGCAATTAATTTCATTAAATTTTTATTTTAGAAATTCTGCATAGACCACAAAAGTGTGCACATGATCTGCAAGTTGAAAGTCAGGTATAACTACCTTGGACCAAGTGTATAGTAAAGCATGACTCACAAGAAATGGAAAAAAAAAAAAACTTAGTAAACAGTAAAACAAAAAGTGGTGATGGAATGGAACAGGAAAATAATTCCATATAAACCATAGCCACCTTATAATATACTCCTAATCACAAAAGTATGCAATCTTGCCGCATATTATTGAAACAACTGAAATTAAAATGTGTGAAAAAGCAAAATCAATCACCACAAGGGTGGAAGACACAGAGGAAGAAGAGATTCATGAAGTGCAGGGGCTATGCCTAAACCCAGGGATGGATCACAAGAGTCAAAGAAATTATTAGAGTTCACCACAGTGATTATTTTCAAATAAAATCCCAAGTCAAACTTCAAATCTATCATCTTATTACTAACAGCCTTTTAAAATTATATTGTCCATAGGTTGTAACAGAACCATGTGACTCAAGTTAAGAAAAACCACCAGAGTTACACTCAGTCACATGATGGTTGTTGGGTTCCATTAAAATTCAGAGACTATTTGAATAGCACAGAATGGGAAGATATATTTGGCTGGAATGTGCCAAAATTTATAGTTAAGGCAAAGATAATACAATCAGGATTATACACAAAGGTGAATATGAGCAATTTACCACAAATGTTTAACAAACCCATGCAGCCAACCATACAAACATACAAAAGCAGGAATTTTTATGAATTGGCATCAATTAAACACGAAGCAGTAACTCTTGTTTGAACCATCTTTACTCATGCATATATATGTTGTGTTTGTATATGACAAACATGTAAACATGCATCTCACATTCAAACATCAATTTACTGATATTTTAAATTATTTGTCAACACTTCTTCAAAATATTATATTATTATATAACAAGAGGTGTTCCAATTAATGTAGCTAAGCAGCACATTTTGTAAATTTATAAGTATAAAGAAATCATACAGAGAAGAAAAAAAGAGAACAAGGACAATGCAACACAATCATACATTGGACAAGGCCAATCATTGGGACCAAAGAGTCCTCCAGCAACAGGTCGGCCAACACCCCCTGCTTCTTGTCCAGCACGTCCTTTGCCACGGCCACCAGCCCCTGAAACTCCAGAAGCACCAGCAGGACGAGCAGTTCCACAGCGATTACACGCACCACGAAAAGCAAAGTTCACATTGGAGCAACTGCTATGAGAAGAAAACATGTTATTCTCTCTACACCAAATCATCTAAAACGACTGAAGAAGTCACAAGAGCAAGAAAGAGCTGCTCACCAATTTCATATCACAGACCTTGTATTCGGACACAACCAATCGCCCTCTTGTTGCCATGCTTTGCCTGAAGTATCAATTTGACCTCTACCTCTTCCACTACCACCATTAACATCCTTGGTATTTCCCTCTAGTCCACCAACATTACCAGCAACTTCTGGTTCTACAACTGAATTATATGTTTGGTCATCCTTGTTTTTTGACTCTGCTATAAAAACCCCAATTGTACTGCCATGAAAATCTTTGTTGTTAAACCATTCAACAGCAGCTACAGCAGCATGTGGATCCTCATAAGTTACGGTAGCATCTCCCTTTGGTTCATTAGTCTCTTTGTCTCGATATAACCATATTTTTGGCCTCCCTGTACGTTTATCTTTCTGCAAAGCATAAATTGTAAAAGGAACGGAACAATATTAAGTGGAGAGAAATGCAGAAATCAACAAAACAATCATTAATTGAAAATTAGAAACTATTGTTCATTTTAGTGTTCATACAAAAAACAAATAAACCTCATTTTCCATGGATAAAAAAATAAAATTTCATTCAAATAATCACTTTTAACATACAAACATAATGTATAAAGATTCCAAACCGATGCAGGTAAAAATTATGTCAGTATTTATGTTTCTCAAAAGATTTCTGATCTTTTCTACAGTAGAAAATAAATTTTGACAATAAAATAGCATTATTTTGAATAATTATCATGCATAATGCAAACAACGTACCTTTATTACTCCAATGGTGCCAAAATATTCAGCCAGCATATTGTCGTCAGTCCCATAGGGCAAGTTGCATACATAGACAGACCCATTTGAAGGAGCATGTTTTCCAGGATGGGTTGCCATGGGGCCTTAATCTCATGAAACAGAAGCAACCAAAACCACCAGAGCTCTGAAAAGGAACAAGGCAAATGAAGACACACAAATGCACACCCCACTCACACACAAGTGAAGACAGAAATCAGACCAGTGATTAATTAATCTCTGAGGAAAACACAAAACTATCACAATTTACAGTCCTAAGCAAGATTATTCTAGGAGGTTCAACAACAAATACGAACATTCAGAGATAACACAAATTACTTATAACCATCTGGTTCTAAGAGGCAAATTGAGCCATTGCGATGAAAATCATGAAATTAATTAGGGCAGAAATCACAGGAGAAGAGACATAACAAGTTTATAGAGTAGAACAGCGCCTAAACGGAGCCGTACAGTGCACAAGCTCGAAACATCATAGGTCAGTTTTTAAATTGAAAAAAATCAAAGTCTGTTCCGAGTTATAAAAAAACCAAAAACCGAAGAAACATAACAACAATTGGGAGAATAGAGATAAAGGATAAAAGAGTGAAATGCTACCCGAAATCGAAATCGAAATCGGAGGAGGTTGATATCGGATAGAAAGAGTTGTTGGTGTGTTGTTGAATAGATCTGTGATTTATCGCTTCTCCTCACTCCGTCTCCACTCTCCGCACTGTTCTTCTTCCTCTCTTCCGGTGCCAATCCTTAAT